GTCATTGGATTATCGTACACCATTTTCTGGTACTGCTGCGATTGCGAGAAGACTAACAGTGTCTTGGCAACTCCACTATGAAATCGAGAACGGGTTCTGGAGAAATCATTGCAGCTCTGGCGACATTCGTTTTACCTCGTGATCATCTGAAGAATTTGCTTCAAAAGCTTTGCATCCAATATTTTTGATCTACTGATCTAGCTCATTCTCTATTTTACTCCCTGCTTGAGGTTGAGCTGCTGACACGAAGACGTACGTCGGGTTTGGCACTCAAAACGGGGAGTGCACACTAACAAGATTTCTCCTGGAATAGCGATCTCAACATTATTTACACTTCACTGCCCACCTTCCCTAGATCGGAGTGGATTCTTCTCGAAAGTTGTATTTGTTGTTAAATCTGGCAAGAAATCCACCACGAAGACAAATTGACCCGTACAACATATGTAAATACTGAATCCGCTTGAGGAAGGCATCTGGCGCTCTAGTAACAACAAGAACAGGCGCCAAACATTGCCAAGACAACATCGGTCAAAAAAGTTGCTGAAAACCTGCGCAAGGGGTAATTTGTCACGGAAAATACGGATATCACACTCGTTCTCCATTAACGCTGGCGAATGTAGCACAGATGCCGAGCAGCTCCCATCGAATGAATTTGGTTTTTGCTACGACTCTTTGAGGAAAGTTATACCTAGGTTCAACAATGAAGAGAAATTGCGGGGGAATTTTACCCTTCCCCACCCCTCCATCCCGTAAAAGGGAAGAAGAAAAGGCATGCAGTGCTTTGATTCTTATTCCGACGAGCTTGAGTGAAGGATTCGGTTCTTCACTCTGGCGGTAACGATGAGAATGGTTGCTTTCACGAGCCTGCCTTTAGGGAGACGGCATAGCAATCGACATAGTATTCTCCAATTCCGCGCGATTGAATCGCACATTCTAAAGTATTGCTCGAAACAGCAAGAGCACTCAATGATTGTTTGAGAACGCACGGAATGAATTGTTGGAGGGGCGGGGCGGGCGGGGGGTGACGCAAATTGTTGAGAATTCAGCCTCCAAATAAGTGGCGCACGCGGGGCGCCACTTATTCGGAGGTTGAATTATGAGATTTCAATGGAGAATACTTGCATCAAAGCTCATGAATTCTTTCAATAAATTGGAGTCACTCACGAATGTGGGCCAAGTTTCTCATAAATAGGAGGTCCTAGCTGCGATTTGGTAGAATGACAGAATCTACGACTTCCATCTTTCAAGGAGTCTAAGATGCATCCCCTCCACCCCCATACTCCATCACCACTCTCACCATCGTGGCTGCTTCCATGGTATTTGATTCTGAGATCAATTGACACACTAACCAATGTCTAATGGCGGCCAATACGCAACCTACCGCAAGACCTGGGGTTTCCAGGAAAATCCGAAGGTATTTGCGTGTGAAGATAGGATTACTTGAGTATAGAAGTGATGGAAAGAGCCTTGGAGAAATCTTTTTGGATTTCATGCCATCCGTTGACTGAAGTAGACGCTCATTTATTACCGCAGTGATTTCATGCCCTTGATCCTCTCATTCTCTCGTTTTTTCTTTCTGTTTTTCTTTTGAATTGCTTTCGCTCTCTAGGCTTCATAAACTTGTGCTTTGACATTGATATTCTAAATTAGAAATGACCATAGCCAGGCCATTTAACTCGCTGTTACCTTTTAGCCCTTACCATTAGGAGAGGGATTCATAAAAGGGCCGTTCTCCGACGCCAGCACATGCTTTATCAAAAAAAAAAAGAAAACATTGTCAGATCAAAGGAAATTCACGATAAGAACGAAGGTCAAAGAAAGGAGAAATTGTATAGCTAGGAGACAGGCGAACCTCCTGAGTGTGTTGACCGACGCGCAATTGGCAGCGAAACATTTGACCTCGGCGATCTAGGCTCACTCTTGGCGCGGTTGCGGGGTACGCCCACCGCGACAATCTAGTACTCGCCGCAGGTCTATACGTGGCAAGTGATTAGATAGCAGAGATAGAGCGTTAACGTTGGAGAGGGCCCAGCGATGAGATTCGCATCAATGCGGCAACAGCCAAGGAAAGGGTTCTTTGTCTTGGGTTCTGTGCCGTTTCTCATGGCTTTTCCTTCTTTCGTGTATTACTCACCATCAAGTCCTTAAGTTAAAATTGAAAGTGGTTGCTTTCCATCGTTGAATTCTGCCTTCATGTTCTGGTTGCAAACTTTTACTGTATACACTATTATTTGTCCTATTTACCGGTGCTGATGTCTTTAGGGGGACATTCAAATCAAGACAAATCACTGGTAAGCGACACTAGGACTAAGCTCAAGAGAGGGAAGAAGCGCCAGTGAGGGCAAATACTGCTCACGTCCTTCCCTGAGGGTCTGTTCTCGGTTCTGAAAATTCTAACAAGGGAGGTCGTTCAGGGTGTGCCAAGCTTTTTCAAAAATGGTCTTGCATGACATTGGGGCACATATGGGGAACCACAGAAGCATGGTTCATTTTTCCTGAACGGCCCTCTGAATACCAGAAAAGGGGTCCCTAGTTCGATTCCTCGTGGTGACAAATTTTTGCATTTCGAGTTGACGTTTCAAAATTCGCGCAAAATGGAGTTAGCATGAATAATTAGTACCAAATTCATGATTAGGAACGTCAGTAACCCTTACAAATAGACTTTGATTGAAAAACTGGTGAAAAAGGTGTGACTAGGGACCCCCTTTTCTGGTATTCAGAGGGCCGTTCAGGAAAAATTAACCATGGTTCTGTGGTTCCCGCATGTGCCCCTATATCATGCAAAAGACCGTTTTGAAAAAGCTTGGCACACCCTGAAAGACCTTCCTTGTTAGTCCCAAGTTCTGCAGGTGGCTCGCTCACTTCAATGTCAACCCTAACGACATGAGCACCTATTTGCCCTTGAGTCACTACACGTTTTTAGCGACTATCGTGAAGCGACGAGTACACTTGTGCCTTAGCTGTTTGTTTTGTTGCCGATTGTTGTCTGATTTCGGATTTTTTTGTTTTATATATACAGTACGCTTAATGAAAGATCGTTCACAATCTTCATTGATACAATATGCTGCACTGTGGAATGTCTTTATTACGTTATATTAAGCATTACCAGCGGCAATGCGAGCTGCTTTCGAGGTTGGCTTATACATGGAGAAGTTGCAGACAAGGTCCTCATTTACCTGAAGTGAGTTGCAATTGAGAGGTCATGACCGAAGGTGAGGCAAGACGTAGTGACGAGACAGTAACAAGCGGTGCCGTTATTTCTTTCATGGTTCGAGGATCACATCTTCGCGCAAAACATACTGTTATTTCCTACCTCCAGGCCAGTTACCCGGTACCAGACCCTTTTGGGGAGAATGACAACCACTCGTGTACTAGCTCGATAAGGCGCTGGCTTCATGGATGGAACACGCCCTTCAACCTTTTGATTACCAGTAGGGCATGCACTCCTTTGCATCCGGCGGTTGGGTATTCTCCACTATAGACTTCATAGCATTCATGACGACGCCTTCCAAGCTCATCTGATAACACTAGTTTGCAGTGAGCCGCAGTTGATAGATGATAGTTGTAATTAGTGACGATTGATAGAATCGAATTGCAACCAGCGTTTTATGGAAGCCGTCGTCATTTGTGTTGTATGCAGTAGACGTGTACTGGCAGCTGGGTGCAGAGGTTGTGCATCACCACAATTGGACGTTTTTTTTTGGCATAAGACGTCCATTTGAGGCACGAGCATTATCACGAATAGAGAACCACCTATCATCTATTCAATTCGTTTGATTGGACCAAGTGCGGATCGGGTTCTCATAACGGTCCAGTGTTACCAAACTTCTTCATCTTTAAAAAAAAAATTGTGTCGGTAAGATACATGCCCATTGGTAGCCAAAGGTTAAAGGAATCCTTCGCGGAAAATTCTTGCATTCTTTCTCAACATGAATGTATCAGTTGTGATCACTAGATGCAATACACAAAGTTTTACGCATGAAGGTTCGGTTTCCGAAGAGAAACAAACTCACGAAAATCCATTCTATGGACAATCGAAAGGTAATTCGGGCGGAGCCAAAGGCGGGGCATGGAATAAGTCCGCACTGGGGCGCTACGTATCAGGACGCAATGAAAGAATCGGGTTAAAGCGTGCGATTTGGGGAGTAGAACAAACGATCGATAAGAATAGATGCAGGTAGAAGTGGATGAGATGTGAAGTGCAATAAGTCAAAAGGCCGGAAAGAGTTTCTAGTGAAGGCACTTCCAATAACCATGTTAAAGCATTCCAGTCGCCAGCATTTGTAACAGATGCCGTGGTCCCTTTTTACACTAGAAGCCTTTCCGGTTTTTCGGTTTCACTAAAACAAGTGCAATTTTACTGTTCTTTTCATCCTTACCGTGGATGATGGTCTGAAGCCAGTGAATCATGGCTAAAATTGAATGCTGATTTTTCCGTGAAGCATTCCTTCAAGGGAAGCGCCATTCTGAATGGAATTCACTGATGTGGCAACTCCCGAGCAGAAACTGATCAGCGACAAACGATTCGTTTTATACAGAAGGAGGAACGCATGGGCGACTTGTAAGCAGTGTGGTTGACGATTTCGAAAATGTGACAGGGAACCCGCTTTTGAGCCCCTTAATAGAATCAGGCGTCGTACCATCGGCGCTCGAGAATGAGCTACACAAGCCATTGGCGAGGCGCCGCCACTGCGTCGGTACCCTAACCCTAAGCCCTCCAGAAGGTCAATATCTTCGATAATCGCCTCTTCTCGCCATGCTATGAAACGTCGCTTGTAAGCATTGAATTGATCGAACAATCCTCGGCTGGCAAGCAATCCGCTAGCTGAGCACTCACGTGCGATTTCCCAGCGGTAAAGCGGCTGATGACATCAAATTACTTCATCGTTGTGCAAAATTATCGAAATAGTCCAACATAGTGAGCGCGGAGAACATTGGTTCACCATTTTGTTGGGCGGAAGAACTCGTAACCGTCCTGCACCACCTGAAATGATTACATGTAGCCATTCTGATGCACGAAATCTTCAAGGCTAAATTACCAACCTGATGGGCTCGAGCAATAAGGTCAATGTTAAGTTTCTGACACATATCAATGACGACGTCCTGTCCGAATACATAGGACACTCCCCTGGTGGTTTGCCTGCCATCCCTTAACAAACAATTTCATTACTAAATTGGAGCTTGGAAAATTGGAGATGTGAATGAGACCAACGCGACCAAGAGACAATAGGAATGCCACTCAGATGCTACTGTTACAAATCAATTCCCATTTTCATCTGAGTTTCATTAAATGCTGTGATTTCGTATGTCCATCAGGGCAAGAATTCATAAGGAAACCTCGACGAGTGCATCCGTATTCAACCCTGCTCGGAAGCCTGACCTTAACGACCTGACAGATATGAAAATCGACGTGCTCAATAGGAAAGGATAGAGAGAGAGTAGAGGTTGCAGAAAAGAAGCTGGTGAAGTTGATGGGGATCAGCGGGGAGGAGAAGTGGAAAAGGGTGAGTCGTATTTGAAAATACCTTGACCTTCCCTGTGGTCAACTCACCTTCACCCATTGATCTGGATCCGCCCAAAGCAAGTCAATACCCATTGACGGATTTGGTGGATCTTGTGGACGAGGTATGTTTCGAAGCTGATCGATAGCTGCGAGTTGAGGAGAGAGTCCGCCATGCATACATAAAATCCGTCCGGCAATCAGCCCGCACAACGGCATCCAGTTAAATGTATCCTGTTAAAACAGCATGTATATTTCGATGTATAGGAAATCGAGAACACGGCCAACATGCGAATTCCAAGCGGCAAATGCCGCGAAAGGGCTTTCTCTGTCGGAGATTGGAAACGGCATTATTTACCCATTACCGCCCCACTCCTCAAAAACTGAGCCGGGTTCTAATCGAGAATTTTTATGACTGAGAAAGGGTAAGAACTTGTTTCCGGTAGTATTTCTACCCGTAGAACACGAATAGTATAACATCATTCTAGCGCGAAGGTGCCTGTCACCCGTCAATGTCAATGGGTTCCTTCTCTTGTCGCCGACTCGCCTATTCGCCTAACCTATTCACCTAATCGCTTATGGAGCGTTCATAGTTGGCGATGGTACGTGCAATTAGGCGATTAGGCGATTAGGCGATTAGTCTATAATGAAAATATACGTATAGATTAGGCGATTAGGCGAGTAGGCGAGTAGGCGAGTAGGCGATTAGGCGATCGCTCAATGGGCGGAGCAACAAATCAATACGTATCCTTCTCTTATCGCCTACTCGCCTAATCGCCTATCGCCTACTCGCCTAATCGCTCCTACGATCGTCAACTATGAACTCTCCATTAATCGCCCAATCGCTGATCGAATACGTACTCAATCTTTTAAATCATCGCCTAATCACCTAATATGCAATGAACGATCGCCAACTCTGAACGCTGCTTTACAGTTTTACATTCCAACCCCACTCGACAGTTTAGCTATAGTGGAATGTAGCTTGGAGATGATGTGATCTCACCTGATATGAGCTCCACAATCTAGAGCTTTTGTAGCGTCTGTTACATTCCTCATAGAAAAACCATACACACGGTTAATGGCCGGGCATTCGCGTGGTTTCCGCGAAGCATAAAGAAACTTTCAGAATATCTAAAGGATCATATACAGGACCCAATTTCGAAGATTGAGTGTGAGCGTAGCAAGACCCTGACTTAATTCTGTAGCAGAACATCAGACATATAGTTTCAATATTCTGGCGTCCTCTGTCGACGTAGTCTCCGAGGAACAGGTAGTTCGTCTCCGGCGGGAAACCGTTTTTGTCGAAAATACGTAGCAGATCCGAGTACTAAAGTACGGTAGTAAAATGGGTGAAATGAGAATGCGGCGCTCTTGTTGTTGGGGGGGGGGGGAGACGAGTACATGGAAAGCCGCTGCCCAGTTTTTGAAGTAAGCCTCAACGGAAGAGGTTCTGGATGGAAGATGTGCAGCCATATGTGTTCTCCCTAGCGTTTCTCCCCTTTCCTGGGCTCAGTCCTAGTGCCCTTGCTACCGGACCTGTTTTGAATGTCCCTTCCCCCTAAGGACATGAGCGCCGAGAATAATCACTGGTGTCCTTACCTGTCCATGAATATCTCCACAAACGACCAGTGGTGGCTCACACTCAATGAGCGATGATTGGGATATGAAAACCTGCCGGGCAACAAAGCAGCACTGTTGAAGCTCCTGCTCTGACACCTGCAAGGTTTCCTATTGATAACGATGGAGCTCATCACGTAAACTGTGGAACATACCGATGTAGTCAGTCGCCCTCCGGCCATGCCCACGTTTAGTAACCGGGACATTAAACTGTCAACGTCGAGTTGGGCCATGCTTGAGTCGTATCAGAGTCACAGCCGCGACGGCGAGCCGCACCACCCTAAAGAATTGAACTCACCGCTCTCAACGGATAATCAAAATCCTGATATCCGGCTGCAATAAACAAGTGTGCTATACCTCGACTTTATTGATAAGGCCGTTTTTCCCCTATCATTCAGAGATTATCGTAAATGAGTAGGAGGCCCTCGCTTAGGCAACGTTTAGGCCGCGTTCATAGTTCGCGACTCGGGAGATTAGGATAGTAGGCGACAGGATATTAGGATAGTAGTAGAGTAGGAGATTGCGCTGACAAGATTGGATACGTATCGATTGAAATCGCTGGAGAGTAGTAGATTGGGCGACTTCAAGCGAATAGATCAATACATATCTAATCTTGTCAGCGCACTATCCTAATCTACTACTATCCTAATCTCCCGTCAATACATATGTTTTCATTGTCGCGTACTATCCTAATCTCCGGAGTCGCGAACTATGAACGCGGCCTCAGAATGACGGAGTTAGGCTTACAATTAGATTAGCAAAGATTGTTAGCTCAGTCTTACACATAGAATGTTAGCAGTCCTAAGAACTTCAAGCGGTTGATATGCAAACTAGTTAACAATTATGAGCACTTCCAAACAAGACAGGCATAAAAGCAGTAAAGATTATGAGCACTTTAAAAAAAGAAGGCGAGATCATTCTAAAACCGTTGACAAGTATTGGTAAATCGCACAAGAGGGGGGGAGAGGCAAAAAGTAATCGACATGGTGCATATCCACCAGCTTTTCCATGCATAGGCCGTTGATTAGAAGTTTACGGCAAAAGATTTTTAGACGTTCCCCCCACAATCAGAAGCAGGCTCCTTCAGTGCCCTAACCGTTTCGAATATAATACGGAATAATTGCCATCGAGCTGAAGGAGGTCTACCGTATTTGCCCCAGTCTAAAGCTGCTACATAATTCTGTTGAAGACTGATGGATAACTTCCTGGAAGCAGTACCTCCAAGTATTCAAAACCCCTTCTAACCGGTGTTTCAGATAACGTCATAATGGTCCCGGAGACGGACATGACGACACCCACCCCACTATGCACACTTACGGTCATTCCATGTGGTGCTGCAGGGCAGCTGGAGGGCAGTGGAGGAAGGAGGGGAGGATGGGGGGGGAGGCAAAAAACCAATCACCAACAGATCTAAGGTGCTTTAGGTATTGATATGTCATTCTACCGTCATGTCATGATTATGGCGATGCCCTCTACTATATGAAACTCCTTTTTGTTGCATACGCGTCACCTCCACGAGGTGTTGGTGTCACAGGTGGAAGGGACCATAGCGGAGGATAGAAAGCTTGCGCAGGAAAGGAAGGTCCCGGCGGTTGACGGGGGACTAATCTGGTACCTTATAACCGAGATCGATGAGATCTCGATAACTGTCAAGTGAGTGTGTCTGAAGTTTTTGTCAACACACGGGTGATAGCATGCGGCTGTCCCTCCCTGAAATTGAGTGAACCCTCATCATCTCTCTCCCATGACCGCTCAGGACTTTGCTTCCCTTTGACCGAAACCTCCGAGTGTCCATTACAGTAGTCAAACGCCATAACGACCGAAACTCAGATTTTTTCTAGGGCAATTTTTTCAAAGCTTTGCAGGAACTTCACTAGGTATGTCTGTCTGTGTGTTTGTGTGTACGTACGTCCGTTTGTCACGAAATACATAGCGTGCTTCTCTGTAGGCATGGAGCGCTGTATTTTGA